CCGACATAAATTAGCAATTCTACGTCGGAGCAGTATACAAGCCGACATAGATTTGCTAATTTACGTCGGACCCCCACCAGGCCGACGTAAATTAGCCTCTATTACTACATGCCTTTCAATATTCTCATATTCTCGCACGCCTTCTACTCTCTAAGTTTGAGTCTATATTCATATTCTCATATTCTTGTCGAATGCCGAAAGCCCGTTTCGGGCCGGTGGCGACATGGGTATCTACAGGCCCACCATGTTTCTACTCCAATGGATTATTGCACCATTCTTCATTCTAATCCTAGAATCTTAGTGATCCTTCTGTGTATCATTGCTTGATTGACCATCTCATATACCTCACTACAACGCGTCCTGATATCATGCATGCGGTGCAACATTTAAGTCAGTTTGTATCTAATCCTACTTCATCTCATCATCAAGTTCTTTTTAAGATTCTACGTTATTTGAAAGGTACTCCAGGTTTTGGAATTTTCTTAATAACACCTAATATTACACTTAACTTCAAAGCTATCAATGATTTCGATTGGGCAAGGTGCATTGATTCTCAGTTTTATAACTGGTTTTTCAATTTTTTTAGGCTCGTCTTTAATATCATGGCGTTCAAAAAAACAATAATTAATCTCTTGGAGTTCTTCTCACTAGTGCAAAATATAGAATTTACATATGTTATTTGAGGCTTTTTACGTCATAAAATAGTTTGACATCAATGTGGGAGATGTAAATTTACGTCAGTTGAGTTAACCGACATAAATTTACGTCAGACATCGCCAAAGAGCGACGTAAAATTGTTTCCAGCAAGACAATCTCCACCTCCACCTCCACCTTCACCTCCACCTCCACCTCCTCCAAAACTCATTCACATATATACTAACCTCAAGTAGTCCAAAACCTAGAAAACGCCCAATCCAATCGATCAAAAAGATTTGGAATCACCCACGGATGTCAAGAAGCCCTTCACCAAAAATTGTCGTGACTGAAAACGCCCACACACGTACTCGAGGAACCCTTCACCGAAAATCATCGTGACTGAAACTCATACAATAGTTGTTGGTTAGCCCAGTAAGATTCATACACAATGGAAGGAAGCCAAAACTCATTCATATATATACTAACCTCAAATAGTCCAAAACCTAGAAAATGCCCTTCACCAGAATCCAATCGGTCAGAAAGATCCGGAATCACCCACGGATGACGAGAAGCCCTTCGCTACAACTCGCCGTCACTCAAAACGCCCCCATGTACTCGAGCAACCCTTCGCTGTAAATCGCCTGAAAACGCCCAAATAGATGTAATTAACCTCGTGCAAGCGAAGAAGACAAAGGCGCCTAGGAAAATATAAAAAGCTTTTTTACTTCGGACTACATAGGGGTTCGACGTAAAATTTTAAATCTACATCGGAGTACATAGGGGTCCGACGTAAAAAAGTTGGACTTATTTTCAAAATTGCTACCACGCCTTTTTTACGTCGGATATTTTAATGTCCGATGAAAAAACCCTTACGTAAATTCTATATTTTGCACTAGTGTCTAAAGTTGAGTATCGCTCTTTGGCTTCAACAATGTACGAGATTCAATGGCTTACTTACTTGCTCGAAGATTTTCGTGTTCCCTTAATCTGCCTGACTTTGCTTTATTGTGACAATCAATCAACATTACAAATAGATTCTAATCAAGTTTTCCATGAAAGAATGAAGCATATATTGAGATTGACTGTCATATTGTGTGTGACAAACTTCATGTTGGTCTTATTAAACTCTTACCTACTTCTTCTTCTCTTCAACTCACAGATATCTACACCAAATCCCTATCTCTAGTAGTTTTTTTGTGGGTTTTGTTCCAAGCTAGGAATGCTTAATATTCATTCCCAGCTTGAGGGGGGCTCTTATTAGTGATAGGTTGTTAGTTTCTTTTTATTTTGTTATCGTTGAGTTGTATCAGAACAACTTTCTTTTATTCTATTTTTGCTATTGCAGTTTTACATGGTTTTATGATTGTATATATACTATTCATTCTCATTCAATAAAGCTCAACCAATTATTTTCTTTCTATCGGATTGCTATATTTTGTGATAAGGATATAGAGAATTCTCATAGACAATGTTAAAATCATTTGTCTCATTACAACCCTTTGGAGTAGATGTAGAATCTTTGAACATCTTCAACTACGATGCTTCCCCACAAATCTCAACCAATTCCATGATGCAACCAAAACAAAATTAGTTATTACAACAGAAATATAACTAATCCAATAAATAAATAAATAAAAGTAATAACTTCACCACCTCTTTTTATAAACATATTTTTCGCAACATTCAATAAGGGATGCATACTCCTCAAAAATCATCAACTATAATACACCACTCTCAACATCCATTTGCTCATGCACTTCTACAACATACTGCACGTCCACCCTTGTAAGCTCCGAAGGACAGAAAGCCTTCCACACTTCAATCCAAAGCCATTCAAGAGCATGTGCACTGGAAACCACCGCACCTGTGTCTAACATCATCATCTTTCTCCTCTACTTTGTAGATTTTGTGCTTAGCCTTCACATTCATTAAGAATTTTCATAAGCAACTGTAAGTTTTTTAGATTGTTGCCCATGGATGCTTAGAATACAAACAAATTTGAACTTTTAAGACATGCAATGAACTATTCTAAAGGACTTATCCACCATAGACTTCCAAGAAAGTCCCCCAATACTAGACTGAGCATACAGAACTAACAAGTTCTTAACCCATAAAAGAGAATAAAGAAGCAAGCAATGTCTTTTTGACTCGTACTGAATCTCAATATTTATAGGAAGGGGACATCGTTAGTTGTGAGTTTAATTAATTACGATAATTAAAACTCTAAAGTCAAATTATTATATCTCTTTAAAACTGATATTATTTAAGATTTAATACAAATAATTAATAAAATAATTATTTTAAATTTAAAATAATTTTACAAATTAATCAACCTTTTAAAATATCTCAAAAAATACAAAAATATCATATATTATTCATAATTTTATATATAAAAAATTTAAAATTTTGTTGTAGCATTTTTTAAAAAATCTTATGCTTGAATAAAAAATATGAATATTTTTAGAATTTCAAGATATTAAATATATTTATTATTTTATTAAGTACTTGTTTATGAAATATTAATAAGATTAATAAAATGACATTAAAGGTATTAAATTAATGGGTGATATAAATTAATCTTATGAAGCCAAATCAGATTATGGATTAATCACGTGAAATAAAGACGAAAGACAGGTTTGACATTGTACTAAGCGTTGTATCGAACCGTTTACAACTTTGATTTTTTCTTTATTAGAATTAAAGTTGCATAATAAAGGCTGTGTTTAAGTTAAACAAATTTAAATCGACCAGGTACTTAAAAACGCAGCAGAAGAATGCACAAAGTATTCTGATGAGTATCTGCTTCATCATATCGTGGGAGATGAAAATGCATTGATTATAAAGTTGACATTTCACACTTTGCGACAAATATAGACTCGTGGAATGTTTGAAGAAGAAAAATATAGATTAACACGTGTGTCACGAGAAGATTTATTTGATTACAGTATTATAATCACTAAAGTATATATAATTTCTCCCGAAATGCTCCTTCAGTCTCAAATCTTTATTATAGGGAAGTGACTTATACAATTAAAGATGATTTTGTTCTTACATACAAGATCAGTGTAGGTAGAATAAAAAATTATTTCTAAATATAAATATAGGTAGCACTCATACTTGTATTTAGAGAATTCTAGTATATATTTTAGGTAAAACTTATAAAATCGTTGTTATATACAAATCACATAATATAATAGATAAGTAATTTGTTTGCGAATCTATCTATAAATTTTAATTTTCAGTAATAATTTTTTATTATTATTAAAAGTCAATTTTCTTGTAATGCTTTAGTTATTTAAGGTTAATTTACATGATTAAAAATATTTAATAGATATAAATGTTAAAGAAAAAGTCTTTATTAATTTAAGATTTTAATATTTCAACTCAATCGTGTCATTTTTGTAAAATATAAGTGAATAGTTGATCAAGAAACTGCTTATTAAGATTGAGTATAATTGAGAAAATTAAATATTAATTAAACTTTGAAATTGTAAACGAACATTTGTCTTGGAAAAAAAACTAAAAAGACTAAATTTTTTTGATGGAGGAAGTAATATTTTTCATATAAATAGTTACAAATTAATTAAATCACTTATCTTTTCTTATTTTTGCCAAGTTGTCTCTCCTCAAAGGGTGTCTATGAATTATTTCCTAAGCATATATATTTGACATCATTAAATAAAGACATTAATATTTTCAATATTTTAAATTTATGATAATTTAATTAACACAAAAAAATTTATTGAAAAAACTAGCTTATTAAAACCATGTTAAGTCATACTAAAAGTCAAACACTAATCTTATCCTAATCCTAACATGGCTTTTAATGTTTAATTTTTCTCTATCTATTTATTTAGTAATATATTAAAGAGGCTTTGGCTGGATGACATTCTATTTAATTTAGATGCATAGAGGACTTAAACAGTGAAAATATTCATTTATACCTTGCTGGAAAATCAGTGAGCAAAGAAAAAAATGGATCATTTGAAGAGACTGGTAATGGTTTTTGTTTTGGTTTTCTTTGCCATGAGGGTTCCCAAAACATCAGCTGTTAAAAATGGACGAGTTCCGGCCTTGTTTTCATTTGGAGACTCAATTCTTGATACAGGAAATAATAACCTCCTTCTCACATTAAGTAAGTGCAATTATCCTCCCTATGGAATGGATTTCTATGGAGGAATACCTACAGGAAGATTCTGTGATGGAAGAAACCCCTCAGATTTGATAGGTAACTATTTCTCAGAGTATATACATTTTCTACCCTTTACTCCTTTAACAAGATTTTTATAAATGCCTGTTTTTTGCATATGCTTTGACACAGTTGGGGGACCAAACATATAAATGTACCACAGCTTTTCTGAAACACGTTTCTTTCTGGCTTTAAAATGCATTCAAGAGAATACAGTGGCTTTCAAGTATATATGATTGCTTTTAGTAAAATGCATGTGGTTTCAGAAAAAAAAAAAAAAAAAATTAACCCATCTATATTTATATACAAATAAAAAATCTCATATCAAAATATAAATAAATTTTAATTAAGTCAACTTCATTTAATACTGTTAATTTTAAATTATTTTTAGACAATAAATAAAAACACTTATTATCGGTGTGATTATAGATTATTTAAAGAAGAAAATGTAGAGTATATTTTATGTAAAATTTGTAAAAATTAAATACGTTTAATTAACTATTTTAAGCCGTGTGAAATTAGTCTCTTTTTATACATAAGTTGAGAAAGGCCTCCATTGAAGCACCATTTTGGTCTTCAAAATTTTTGGTGGAATGTTTAAGTTTTTAACACCGATTCTGCATATTTTCCATTACCAACATAATCGAGAAATAATCCTTTATATGATATGATTGGAATGTGAATATACATATATTGTACGTAGCGGAGGCTTTGGGAATCAAAGCAACGTTACCAGCATACCTGAGCGGTACCTTGAGGACTCAAGACCTCCCCACCGGAGTATGCTTTGCTTCAGGTGGTTCAGGGATTGATGATGTCACCTCTGCCATACAGGTAATTAATCGATCTCAGGCCAATACCTAAATATTAGTGTTGTTCTATAATAAATATTGAAGTAAAAGGATCTCTTTTTATATATAAATAAATAAATTTGTGTTTAAATATATATTATCGAAATAAAATTTCATTTCTAATCGAAGACAATGTCAACTATATTTAAAGAGTTATGTTTAAACTTTGTTCTTAATATTATAGGTTTATGTAGTAAGTACAAAAAGATTATATTATCGATCAACAAAAAATTATTATAATAATTATAATGATAGTCAATATATTTATTACACATGATAATTTTTCAATCAATTCTAATTAATTATAATAATTTATGCTGCTAGGGTGTTTTATCACTATCAGCTCAACTGCGACTGTTCGAAGATTACATAGGAAGGTTGAGAGCACTTGTTGGACAACAACGTGCTTCTTACATCATATCCAATGCCTTGATCCTCATTTCCGCAGGCAACAATGACATTGCCATTACCTACTATGACACCTTAGTACACTTGCAACCTTTCCCTATGTACGCCGATCGTTTAGTTTTGGGAGCTTCTAATTTCGTCAAGGTTCGTCATGACACCCTTCCATTATTCTTTAATTAGTATTAAAGTTTTACTTCGATAATTTGTACACTAAAAAACCTATTAATGGTTAATAATTATTATCAGATAAAACTTTAATTTTCATTAAAGAATGATGTTATCTATATAATGACACATTATTAGTCTTAATTATGTATTTAATTACTACTTGAAGAGTCTATATGCACTTGGGGTACGACGAGTGTGGGTACTAAGTACTTTGCCACTTGGATGTTTGCCTGGAGGAAGAACCATAGCGGGAGGACCTTTAAGGATTTGTGCGCCCATAGTGAATTTACAAGCACAGTTATTCAATGGCAAGTTAGCATCAGCAGTGTATTCTACCAGAGCAAGCTTTCCCAATTATGATATTAGGTTCATCGATGTCTATACTCCTCTCTATAATCTCGTGCAGAACCCTCTAAGTGCAGGTCATTTTCTGTAATGAATAACTTTTGCATTGAAGTTTAAAACATCTTTTGAAAGTTTTTTATTATAAGAAAACTCTCTAATTTTAAAAGAAACTCTTTCATTTTTTTTAAACTTAATTATAAACACACAAGTTATTAATTAACATTGTTGAGTAAATTAATTTGTTACTTTATAATAATTTCAGGGTTTTCAGACTCCTCAGAGGGTTGTTGTGGGACTGCAATATTTGGAGTTTCAGGACTATGTAACCTTCTCAGTGTGTGTCCATTTCCTTCCACATACATTTTCTGGGATTTTGCACATCCAACAGAGAGAGCTTATCGGTTTATTGTCTCTTCTATACTACGGAGGCAGGGTATCAATAATGTTTCAACCTCTTTTTCTTTTTCTCATGTCAATTCTTCTCTCGTACATTAATGTATGCTTGGAGTATTCCTTGTAATCTTATGATCAATAAAATGTTGTTTGTTAAAAATACAAAAAAATACAAAAAAAAATAAAATTCTCTCGCATTAACAACGCCTAAGCCTGTCTTAAAATGAAGAGAGAAGCTTATAATATTAATTACCATTAAAGGTCCTCTAGTATCTCTAGATAGAAATTTTATTAAAATTATTTTAGGTAAATTAATTTTAAGGGACTTTGTTATTGTTTGAAAACATCTTAAATTAGTTTGTTGTACGTTATAGTTATAGAAATTTTATATGCTCACGCAAGAATTGTTCTTAATTGGACAGATATATTTTTTAAAAATGAATTCGACCTTAATGTTAGAGCAACTAATAGCACCAATTAGAACTGCAAATACTACCAAAGAAAAGCTATCAAGATATAAAAGGAAATTCATCGAGACAATTAAAACTTTTCTCATTTACGTTCACTCTGAATAATGTGTAAAAGAGTTTCCTTATTTATTAATCCTTGGGGAGTTTGCAAGGAAAATGAACAAAAATCTTAAAGGATATATACCTTTTGCACCTCAATCAGTAAAATGAAACCTCGTTCCAGCTAGTTTCATCTTTTCCTTTATTTAAAAACTTAAAAACGACTTTTACGTACGTAAATGTAATATCCTTCGGCAGTGACAAATTTAATAAATAAATAAACGGAAAAAACTGACCTTATTTTGTTACTAATACGGTGCCTCTATATATTTAATTTTTAAGAGTTTAGAGAAAAAATTATTGTAACAATTTTTTTTTATTAAGATTTAAAATTAAGTAACTGTAATGGGTGATTTTCTTTTATTTTTGGAGAGTGGCTAGTTTAAAAATTATAAATATATGTATTGTTTAGATGACCTTTTATAATAATTAAATTAAATTTATATAACCTTTTCTCATTATCATCTATGTGGTGACAAAAGTCTTCGATTTTAATCAATGATATTGTGAAATTAAATATTTAATCAAACAATAAATATGATAAATAAAATAAAAAAACAATATTTTACTAACGTTAAAATTGATTACATGAAAAATTAGATAGGTTGACGTGCATATGTATCTCCAACAATTTTCCGACTTGCAAGATTTGTAAATTAAAAATTTCCAATCTTTTTGGTTGTTCAACTCGGTGTCACGGTGGGACCACGAAAACAAAATAATGTTAAAAAAAAAAAGGACATTAATCGGTTTGAGTCGGTTAATAGATCGGAGGTGCTTTTAACTCGATAGGATTCGGTTTGACTTGATGGATTTGATCTAAAATTGGTGATTCGACAAGTTTGGATGACTTGGTTGGGTCAATGCAATTTTTTTTAGCAATAGGACGTTCATGACTCTCTTCTATTCATTTGTCACCTCTTTTCATTGCTCTTCCCTATCGCACAACTTTGATCATACTGCACAATACTTGTGCGTCTCTGCTCTCTCATAGTCGCGCACTCTAACAACATGATGTGACCCTGCCTGTGCGGTATGTTCACCATTTTCTTATCGTACAATGACACAATCTTCATCGTTTGTCATTTGTTTTCACCGTACAATTAGGCATGGTGACGGGACGGGATGGGGACGGGTTTTATGTTCTCCACTCCCGTTCCCGCAAATTTAAATTGCCCCGCCTCTATACCGTCGAGGGTAAAATCTAGGTCCTCATCCTCATCTTTGGCAGGATTCGGGTTTTCCCGTCCCGGTTCCGGCCCCGCTCCTATTTTTTTTTTCTTTTAAATAAATATGAACAATTTTAAAAAAATAAAAGAAAAGAAAAATAATATAAATTTTTACATATAAATATTTCTAATTTTGGTTTATATATATATAAAAAAAATTTAATTATATTATTAAGCGGGACGGGGGCGGGGCGGGGTAGGTATTAACATCCTCATCACTGCTCCCTAGGGGTGTTCACAAAACTATTTAAAACTAAACTTTTTAAATAACTAAACTAAACTAAACTAAAATAAACTAAATTATTTTTTAATAGTTTAAACCAAACTATTACTTTTAGTATAGTTTGTAAAGCTAAACTATTAAAATTAATAGTTCAGTTCACTAAAGAAAACCAAATACAAACATTGAAGCACATTGGCGAAGACTACTAGTACCAAACTATCACGATAGGACTCGCGGAGACGGGATTTCATTTTACCCCTAATAGTCTGGCTAATAGTTTTGTTTTCATCATTAGTGGGCCTTTCATTTATTTTTCCAATAGAGATGGGATTTTGGGCTTAAACAATATAAATAGAGGTTTTGGATTTAACCCATGCATGCATAGCTTGTATATTATTAGGCTGTTTATGATAATTTAAAATTTGGCACTGTATATTTTAAATTTAATTTATAATTAATATTAATGATTTATTGGTAGCTCAATTTAAAAATATTGATTTTAAATTTATTTTTTAATGTAGTTCAATTTAGTTTATAAATAATAATAATTTAATTTAGTTGATATTATAGTTTAGTTCAAACTCCTAGAACTATAGTGCACTAATCTAGATAATAGTTTAGTTTAGTTTAGTCAATATTTATTTTAGTTCAATTTAGTTTAGTGAACTATTTATTATAGTTTAATTTAGTTTTCTTCTAGTTTAGTTTAGTTTAGCAATTTGAACACCCCTACTGCTCCCGCCCCCTATCAATCAGGGAAAACCCGAACCCGAACCCGATAAACACGGGTTTTCCCCGTCCAAATCAGGGCGAGTTCAAGCGGGTACCCAAGGGGGCAAGTTAGATTGTCATGCCTACGTACAATAGCACATTCATCATCTGCTTATCACATGAGAAATGCAACTTTGCTCTAGTGCACGAGTCATTAGCTAAGTTTTTTTTTTGTCTATTGTTTACTAGTTAAACTGGGTGGAGGTTGCTTCGTCCCCATGATACAATAAGATTTTTCCAATACTAGACTGAGGATGTAAAATTAGCAAGTTTATAATCTAAAAAAGAGAAAACAAAACTTAGTGCATCAGACTCCTACTAAATCTCAATTATAAGAGAGGGACATTGACGCATTGTAGCTATAATTAATCACAATAACTAGGACCAATTAATTTTACAATGTTTGATCATTAAAATTAATTAAAATCACAATGGTCAAATTATTGTATCTCATTAAAACTGATATTAATTATGCTTTAATATCAATAATTAATAATAAAATAATTATTTTGAATTTAAAATGAATTTAAATTTAAATTCAAAATAACTTAATGAATTAATTAATCTTTTAAAATAGGCTAAAAACCTATTTTGGTCCCTTATAATAATTGTTTGTTTCAATTTAGTCCCTCTTTTATTTTTTTGTCTCAATTTGGTCCCTAATTAATTAATTGGTTTCAATGTGGGACTTCCGTCGAAATTTCTTTAACGTCGTTTGGCCATTTTCCACGTGGAAAAAAATTTAAATGTCATAATTGTAATTAATGCTGACGTGGATTTCCAACGTGGAAGGAGTATTTTTTGTCTCAAAATCGTGAGAGAGAGAAGAGATAAGAGAGATGAGAGAAGTCTGATTCATTAGGTTGTTTCGAGATAAAGTTTTTGTTAGGGTTTTGAAGAAGAAGAAGAAGGCGCATGCATTGGTGATTGATTTGAAGAAGAAGAAGCGACGTTTGTGTGTTGTTCTAATCGGGTAAGTACATTGTTTAGGGTTTTTTTGATTAAAGGGGCTTGTTGGGGTCACTTTAGGGCTACGGGTAAGAGTGGGCCTGGGTTATGAGTTGCGTTTTGATGTTTATTGGATAGAGTTTGCTTTTGGTGTGGTCCCAAACACTGGGTTCGTTGGTTTTGGTGTGGTCCCAAAGAATGGGTTGGTGGCAATTTGTGGTTTATTTTGGTTACTGTATGAATAAATCTTCTTGGATTGGTTTCATGTTGTTGTGTGGCCCCGAAAAATGTTGTTGTGTGTTGTGCATATATTGGCCCCACTAAGTTGTACATTGTTGAGCCGTATAAATGCATATGTTGGGCCAGTGACACATCAAACCCTAATTTATTTGCATATGTTGGCCCAATAATGTTCCTTTTTTGCATATGTTGGCCCAATAATGTTCCTTTTTTGACTATGTTGGGCCACAAAAGTGTTGGTTGTTATGTAGGCATATTTATGTTATGAATTTGTTTTGAATATTTCATTGTTTCTATTAATTAAATATGTTTGTCTTAATTTTTAAATAAATAAATTTATATAATTGGAAAAAATTTATTACTACAATAGGTTAATATTAAAATGTGTGTGTTCTGAATTTTTATAGGAGTTTCTTGATATGGATTCATATTTTGAAGTAGTCGACATGGTCCTGTGACCCTGATAAATGGTCTTACTTTGAAATATTGGGTATTTTAAAGGAAATGGGATATATTATAGTGGATAAGATATGATATTTTGTGGGTGGGGCAGATTTTGAGAATGGGCTTAAATTGTTGTCTGATGATAATGGGGCCATGGAAATGATAAGGATAGCAAGAAAGTTTGGAAATGTTAGATTATATGTTGAACAACCAACATCTCAACCTGAAATTATACAAAATTTACCATCAGTTGTTGTTGTAAGAAATGATGGGCCTGTGCCTACTAAAAGTGGGGTTGGAAATCATGGGCCTGTGGCTGTTGACAATGGGCTTGGGTCTTTTGTTGATGATGAGACTGAGGTAGGGGGTGGTGTTGCTGGTGAGAGTGTGGTAGAGGGTGGTGTTGCTGATGAGAGTGTGCCAAATGGTGGTGTTGTTGATGAGTCTGGGGGTAGGGTTGAGAGTTTGCATGATACTGTTGTTTCTGACAAACAAACTGAAGAAAGTTATTGCAGTTATCCATCAGTACATTTGGGTGATACTGATGAAGAAGAAATTTTAGATATTGAATTATTTGAGGTACCTGTTAAAGGTAGACAGAATTGTTCAGTTGATAGGTTTGAAGGACCTTTAGAAGTAAGACAGGTTAGTAATAGTGGTGACTTAGATATATTGAATCAATTTGAAATACCTGTCCCTGAACCAGTACCTGAACAACCTAGTTGTAGCAGTAAGAAGA